AGGTTAGGTTCATGGGGAATACTGGACTGTCATTCTGGCTGTTTTTCAAAAAATACTGTTGCTAACATGACTTTCAAACCACTGTACAATTAGGCACTGGCAACAGGCTTTCTGGTGATTGGGAATGTGATTCTAAGGAAGCAGGGACAAGCAAGCCCAGGCCTATAAAGGTAACCCAAGAAAGTACTGATAACCTATTAGTCAATCCTTTGATGATAACAAATGCTACAGTAAAAAGTATCAACAGTTCGTAGGTAATTATATCTAATAAGCAAGATGCAAAGATGCCTTGGCATGTAAAAGAGGCTTCCATTAGTGTCTCCATTGAAAGTGGAAGCAGTGGCTAGGACAGCAGCATTAAAAATGTAGGATAACTTAGATTGCAAGCAAGTTGAACACAGCTAGTGACACCTGCAGGTCAATGTACAAACTGCAGGGGTAGAATTGTGCACCTGGGGGAACTATTTTCTACCCCACCCCCACCCCCAGCTCTTAGTTTGGCTCCCAAGTCCATCATCCTCCAGTCATAGTGTCAAATCCTGGAAGACAGAACAACTCACTTCTACCAGATGGTTGTCTGGTCCATACAGGTCTTTGTCCAATTCAATCACCAAGGACTTAAAAAAGGAAGAGAATTTCCTCTTTTGTTTGGTGGCATCATATTTGGACAAGGCTGACTAAAAAGAGAGGAAAGGTAATGTTAGAAAAACCCAGGAAAAAATATCCCCAAGATAAAATTCCTACAAAAAAGGAATGTACAACAACAATGGAGGAAAATGTCTCTGAATATATCTTAGGAGTTGGTAATGCAGGCATTTGTGGGCATTAAACCAGTCATAATAGCAACACAACCCTGAAGCAGCAGCCTGCAACACAGACAGGGTCACTCACTGACTTATCACTTCATTTCCCTCAGGGAAATGAAGCAAGTTAGCCAAACCACTGCACATAACAAAGCAAGTCTGAATGGAAAAAGTCTGACTGTAGAAGGGAAGTGAATCACAGGCAATAAGCAGCCAGAACAAAAACAGCTTTATTTGAACAGAATGACAAGGCCAGCAGATGGACTGGACCTATACAGAGAAGGAGGCTCTGACACTGAGCCCTGGTTCTCCTACAAAAATGCATCTAAATTAGCCTGCCTGCGAGTAGCTAAAAATAGAGAGCCAGAGACTGTAAGGAAATGAGGAAAGGTGAGCTTCCCCAAGGAGCCTCTCAGGTGGGAAGTCTGGGAACTATCACCTGTCAGCTGCTGCTCCCTGGGAAGCAACAAAGAGCCTGTTAGGAGAAATCTATGCCACTTACACTGTGAGGTATCTCCAAAAAGCTGGAAGAGGGAGATGCCACAAGGGGAATCAAGGAGCTCAAGGACTCCGGAGAGGAAACATGGCCTCAAATGCTAAATGCAATCTCATTTGAATTAAATTTAAAAAACCCAAACACATAAAAACCCTAACTAATCTGCAGATACTGGTAAAGTCAGTGGTCAGCAGCACTACTAGGAAAGTAAACAAGTCAGATCCCAGGACAATAAGATATGATACCAGTGAGGGCTAAAGCTGTGGGAGCAGATACAAAGGACTATTGTCTTTCTGTGCAAAGAACAGCAAGTCCCTTTCCCTGATGCTCCCAGCTAAGTACCAGTCAGGCTTCCTGCTGACCAGGCAACGCTGCTTGTTCCCAGCAGCTCCCCCCCAGACGCCAACCACAGTGGACCCTGAACTCACATCCTCCAGGAGCCGTCCTTCTACCCGAAGCTCCCAGGATGCCACCGTCCCTTCCCCATCCTCGGCATCTGATTTAGCCGGATTGAAAGTGTTAGAAATGAAAATGCGCAGCTTCCGTTTTTGCTGAGGAAGGCAGAAACAGGATTGATAGTGGGGCTTCAGTAGTTTGATGCTGAAGACAAAGGTCTCCCCAAGCCCCCAAATTACTCCTAACAGACTGGCTTACTGCCTACCCAGTCTCTCAGGGAGGTGGAAGAAGATTCAATTTAGAACAGGACTATAGGCCACACTGGTCTGAGTACAAATACATAAACCAGGATGCCAGGTGGACAAAGTCATTCAAGATGCCAGGTTCCCAAAGTAGCAGAGCAGTTACAGCAAAAACATGGACAGGGTGTATTTTTAGTGCAAGAGACATCAAAAGCCCCTCCCCCTTTGCTGTTCTGTTCTTGGGTTCCTAATGTAATTCTTGGTTTGTAGGCGGAGGGGAGAGATGCAATTTAAATGCCAAGGAGAGCTGTGCTGTGCCTGTGATTTCTTATTGTAAGCCTGGTGAAGGTTCCCAAGCCCTCTCCTTTGGCTCTTCGCCTAGTACTCTCCTGTGTTACCTTGATGGGACGTTTCAAGGCCTCTTGGATATCTAGACGTTTCCTCATGATAGTCTGATCCAGTTTCCTTTCAAAAGCCAAGAGGTCCATATAGGCCTGGGATTCTGGTACCAGTTCACGAATCTTAGGAACAGAAAGATATAGTTGTGATCTAGAGTAGGCCACTTTTATTCTAAAACTCACCATACCTTCAAGAAGACCTACTGCCTGAACTCACCCTTTGAGGTAGAATTTTGTCAGCCATCTTCTTTTTCTTTGCACTGTTCAAAATAAATACTGTTATCAGGTTGGGATAGAATTAGACAGAACATGAAGATAAGTTGCTAGGACTTCCATTTATAGTAAAATGAGGGGCCAAACAGCTTCTCAAAGCAAACCCCCTCCCCAATCCCAATCCATCAACTCCAATACTACCAATACTACCACTACCACCACTACCACCACCACTGCCACTACCAGACATTCTCAAGGATGAATCTCCATAGTACCATCTGTTAACACAACACCACCACTCTGGTTCAGGTACTCCCACCAGCTGCGTCCTCACAGACTTCCCCTCCCCCTCTCTTCCCTCTGCTCCCAGGTCATCTTACTTGTGGTTTCGATTTTGGACCGCCTGCTGCTGGACCTGCTGGATCTGCTGAGGTGCAGGTCTCTTGCGGGACTGGTCCATCCCTGACTGGGCCAGGCCAGGTCGGACTGAAGGGTTCCCCCCATAGCCAGGAGGTCCCATGGAAGGTCCCTGAGGTGTCATTCGGCTGCCTGGAAGCATACCTGGTCTCTACAGAGGGGAGAGGACCCACAGATGTCACAGCTTCCCTTGCTAACTTCACCAAGAAAGGGAAAGGGATGAGGAACACCTGAGTCCTTTGAATGAAAGACTGTCTTGAGAAGGTGGGGTAGAGGGCAATGAAGACAGCTCTCTGCCCTCTAAAATATAGGTAATTGGGGGCTTCTTCCAGTCTTGGTTCCCTAGAAAAATAGGACCTCAAAGGTAAGAGACAACCCATTTCCACTCGAATTCTCCCCACTGTATGATGGATCTGATTCACCAGACATCTCCTCCAGTCCCACGTTCACTCTGCTAGTTATCTCCTTCTATGCCGATCTCAACTGCAGTTACACCTTGTGTTTTCGGTGAAGACTTGAACTAGCCAAATCCTTTTTTGAACTCCATGCCCATCTCAAGTCTCACTTCACCCACCCCGGGTCTATCGCCGACTTCCCACGGAAACAATGCCTCTGGAAGCAGGTAGGGGCGGTAACTGCCTCCCCACGCCCCCCAAGGACCCGAACCCCTCCCAGGAGAGTCCCTCCCACTTCTCCCCTACCCCTGTCACAACCGGGCCCCTGCTCGGCCCCGCCCCCGGCGCGCGCCCCTCCTCCTGCCCCGCTCACCGGATAGGCCGCTCCGGGCATAGGAGAGCGGTACAGCCCTTGACCCGGAGCCGGGCCCATTCTCACAGGGGGTCCGGGAGTTCCGCCTGGCCCTAGGGCAGTCGCTGCGCCCGCCCCTCCTGAGGCTCCCGCACCGCCGCTCGGGGCCACAGACTGAAAACCCGCCCGGGCCGCCATCTTCCCGGAGCCGCGGCTGCAGCTGCACAAAGAACCGGAACCGGAACTCCCCCCGCCCCCTGTACGCCCCCCAAGCGCCCGCTTGTTTGTGCGCCCGGCCAGCCGGCCCGGGATGCTCGGGGCAGCGAGACTGTGGGCTAGAGCGGGCGACTAGCGGAAAAGACGTGCTGACCACTCCCTCCCGCCTTCGCGGTCCTACGAGGGGGAACCATAGAGACGAGTTGTGGGCTAGAGAGGCCCAGTGAGCCGGCGCCCCCAGGCCGACGGGAGGACGACGAGGCGCTAAAAAGGGACCACAGCCGAGGCTCCAACCCCAGCCCTGACCAAGAGGAAGCCCGGCGCATTTAACTTTGTAAAGCGTTCCGATCCCATTCTCTTCAGGTGGTTGAAGAAGGGAACACACTATTCCATTATGGAATGGGAAAACAATTGAAGAGGCAAATGAGCTGGCAAAAGTGAACCAGCAGTAAAGCCAAATCCTGAATTAGAGGTGTCTTAGGCTCAGTAACTATTCTCCACAAGAGGAATTTCAACCCAACTGCATTACCCTGCTTTCAGATTTGAAATTCCAGTTTATCCTGAATTTTGACCCTGTCTCTTCAAATCTTTTTTTTTTTTTTTTTTTTTTTAAATGTATTTGGTACAGGGCCTCACTATGCATCTTGGATTCTTAGTGATCTTCCTGTCTCAGCCTCCCCAGCGCTGGGATTACAGGTGTGAGCCACCATGCCCCGCCCAATTTGGTCACCGGCTCAACTCACACGGGGGTCGACCCAGCACAGCATGTGGTGCCAGGGCTTGAATAGCAGGCACTTTAGTTCACTGAGCTATCTCACTGGCCCTTCTCCAAATAATTCTTTATGGTGGGATTTGTATTTGGGGATTTTGTTTCCCTTGATCCCTTCCCTCTTTCTCTACCCAGCCCAAACTTTCCTGATGTGATGGTCAGTTTGTCCCATCCCGGAAGCACAAGTGTCTCCCTGCTCAACCTTTTCATTCCTCCCCTTATTGTATGACCCCCAAGCTAAGCTCAGCTCTAAGCATCTTGTGGGAATACCTAAATACTATTCATATAAAAAAAGAACAACACTGAAAAAGAGATGGTTGGAACCCAGTTTATTAGACCAGAGGCATGCGTCACCCAAAAAGAGCTCTGCCTACTGTTCCCCCAACCAGCACACTCTTCTTGGCCTTGCTCCTGCTTCCCCGTGGGTAGGACTGATCTCTGGGCAACCAAGAGTTCCCGAAGATCCTATAGCCTTACTCTCCAACTTCAGGCCAACACACAGGTGACTCGCCCATGGGTCCTGCTCCGGAATTGGAGATCGAAAGACAGCTGGGCAGAGAGGACCTGGAAAGAGGTTGGGGCTCTGGCCTGGGAGGAGGGGGTGGGGCAAGCCCTCTACCTCTCTTGCCTCTCTTTAAGATAGGGAAGGCTAGAACAGCAGAGCTTTGCACTCCTCCTCTGGGCCTGCCTCATTCTTCCCATGACCAAACCTTGCTTCACCAGAATGTGTAAGTGGTGGGCTTGGGCATCAGGTGAGGAAGGGGGGCTGGGCACCCAGAAGGAGTGAAAGGCCACTGATGAGGACCTCAGCATCTGCCTTTGGGCACCCACTGCCCCAGATGCGTAAGTCACCAATCCCCAGCTCCCTCTGTTTCTAACATTCTTGATTTAGTAGTGTCCAGTGCAGCTTTCCATTCCCTGGGCAGGGACTACCTCTGTAGCAGCCCCTTCCCTGGGGGGCCGCAGTCAGCCAGGCAAAGGGCATTGGGATAGGTGGAGCAGGGAAAGGGAATGTTAAGGCTGCAGGGAGGGCAGAAGGTGCCCGGACTGGGGGGAGAGGATGAGGCCAGAAAGAGGCAGAGCTTGTGATTCACAGCTTCCTTTATGTCGCCACCGAGACAGTGCGAAGGTTACAATGCGCGGGTCGTCTCCTTGTGCTTCTCAGAGGGATGTGTGTACACAGTACAGACACCAGGGGAGAGAATCCAACTCTTTATACAGGCGAAGGCATTCAGACAGGGGAGGGAAAGAAACACAGAAGGGGAACTTGGGGTGTGAGGATGGTTGTCAGAGACAAGAGGGGATGGGTGGAGACAAGACAGGGTTAGAGGAAAGTATATACAGAGATATAGCAATATAGAGTCTGTATCATATAGAAATAGAAAATGCAGATGAGGTTGTCAAAAGAAGCAAATGAAGTCGGAGGAGAGGACTTGGGAGAGTTCCATAAGAAAATTTATGGATGTGGCCCTTGCAGAGGGCCTTCTGGGGGAGGGGCCAGTGAGGCCAGGCACCAATGCCCCTCCCCCTGAGCTGGAGCTAACCAGCCAGGTCTTTCTGGGGACTAGAAGAGAGCTACTTGGGGGGGGGGGGGAAGCAAACTTGTAGGTATCAGAATGTGGCCTACAGCACCAGGGCCATATTGTGTCCCCGTTTCCACTTTTTCAGGGAACCCCCTCACCCATAGAAATTCCACATGGTATGAGGGAGTAGGATGGGGCTTTTAGTTCCTGCCTGGAGAATTGGGTTTTGGGGGGAGTCACTGGCTGAGAGGGTCTCTTAAGGCTGGGGAACCCTCCCCACCAGCCCTCCCCCATAAAGTACATTCTCTGATTTGGGGCCAAAATCCAGACCCCAGGGATTCCCTCCACCCCTCACTGGGAGGGGGCTTTGGTGACAGGTGGCAGCAGAATGTAGGTGGACACTCAGTTGACAGACAGCCAGACAGACACAATTCAGGCTGGGAGCTGGGGGTGGGCAGCATGGAGCAGAGAGGGGCAGCCTGAGGGCCCTTGCCCATTCTCTTGTTCAGATTAGTTTAGTTTTGTTAAAATAAAAAGAATAGGATAGAGGCAGGGAGAGGGCTCTGTGGTCAAGACTCCTTCCTCACCACAGAGACGAGGAAAGGACTGCCCGGAAATGCAGGTGAGTCCCCAGGGCTGATGTGGGGGGCAGCTGGGGCCCCTTGCTCTCCTAGCCCTCCCCACCTAGGCCTTTGGTACAGTGGCCTGCGGGGCTCAGCAGGTAAAGTCCTCAAACGTGCCTCGAGCCGGATGGTGAGGTAGGATGTTGGCAGCGTAAGTCATCCCGGCAGGATGGCCCCGGAGGCTCTCGCACGGGTTCTAGGGGAAGCGCATAGGACAGGGACTGGTTATGGGAAGGGTCGCGGGCAGCGCTTGGGAGCTGGGGAGGCGAAGGGGAGCAGGTGGCGAGGGGATGAGGGTTCTTGGGGGAGGGGCGGGCCGGAGGCTGCCCCCTCGCTGCTCCCTCACGTGTCTTTTGACGTCATCCAGGCTGAGCGCCACACCCTTGTCTGCGCTGCTCCTCTTGGCCTCTTTCTGGCACTTCCCGCGTTTGCACAGCTTGTGCTTAAGGACCTAGGAGGGGGCAGGGTGCGTGGGCTGGCTGGAACCCCTCTCCCCCTCAGGCCGCGCCCTTGTCCTACCCCTTACCTCGTAGGCGTAGTCAAAGAGCTCCAGCACCGTGAGGATGCTAGCCCCGATGAACAGCCCCATCTGGCCCCCGATGTCACCTGCGGGCGTAGGGGACAAGGGTTCAGTGGGGTCAGAACGCCGTGGGAGCAGCAGGATTCTGTGGGATTGGGACTCATATTCGAAAAGGGATTGATAACCTTCATTCGGAAGGATTACAAAGCCAGATTCCAGGAGGATTTTTATTTTCTTTATGCTTTTTTGCATTTTTCTACTTTTCTAAAATGAACAATTATTACTCAGGAAAAATAATTCTTTACAAAATACCCGGCACTCAGAGTCTGGGCAATTTCAGGTGCATGTGAAAGACTACCTCCACCACCACCACCTCCACCTTCCTTCACATCCAGAACGCTGCCTCTTCCACTTGGCCCTAAGAGAAGTTTCAGCCTCCTTCCCTTCCCCACTACATGCTGTGACAACCGGGTTTGGGAAAAAGGCCCTGGGGACAGGACAAAGACAGCACCCTGCTATCAGCAGTAGGGAGCCACACCATGCCAAAGGCATGGAGCGGGGACAGGTACCATCAGCAGCTCACCCAGGAGCCCTGCAATCTCATAGGCTTTCTTCTGCTCAATGGTCTCATAGTTGAGGACTTCAAAGAAAATATCCAGCACCAGGATGTTCTCCCTGCACAAGGGTTGGGGGAGGAGACCTAGGTTCAAGTCATATCTCTGCCCCTTATTAGCCAGGTGACCTTAGCAAGCTAGCCTCTCTGAACCTCAGTTTCTATATCCAGGAGATGAGATGCTGATGGAGATACCTGCGTTTTAGGGTCATGAGAATGAAGTGAAATGACCATAGGAAGACACTGCCTATTGCCAAGTATGAGGTGGTCCCAGTTCAGGGATGAGGATAAAAAGAGAGGATAAGCAAGGAGGGAGAGAGGACTGCTTCTACTGCCTGTTCTGCCTTGATCCTCCCTCCACACCCACCCATACTCTTTGTTTGCCTCTTGGACTTTCCCCAGATTCTCCTAACTTCCTCTTCTCTGCTCCTCCCACCATTAAAGCCCACGCCACAGTCCCTAAAGGCCCTGCCCTGTACAGTACAGTCCTTACCCTATGTACTGCTCAGACTTGTTGAACTTCTTGGCCAGGTACTTGGCTGAGGCTTTGCTGGGTATCTTGACCATGGACAGCTCCTTGCCATAGCGGGTCAGATTGCAGGGCATTTCACACACGCAGTACTCTTGGTCCTTCTCCACCAGGAAGTCTGTACCCAGTGGGTAAAAGGCAGGGGTTGAGTGGTGACCTTCTGCCAGCACTTTCCTGACACAAGCGTTTTGGCTCTGCCCAAAGGAATCCCAGGTGCCCTCATGCTCACTGTGCTGATTCTCCCCCAGCCTTCCCGGGGGTGTTTAAAAATCTTATATGCATTTTCTCAAGGCCCTCAAAGGACTGCTGAGTAGCTGATGATGAAAGAGGAAAAAGCCCCCTCCTGGGTAACCACCACTGGTTTTTTTTCCACCATTGATTTTTCACAGGAATCTCTGAAGATCCTATTCTCAGCCTTCAAATCAGATACATTTTAGGGTTCAGTCTGATGCAGGGGTTACTGGAAGCTTCTAGAAGTGTGGTCTGAAACCCTTGTGGATGTGGCTGGGAGCAGCTCCTTCACTCCCGCTGACTGCCCCAGAACAGGGGGACTCACCCAGGGCAGGGTCTGCACATTCTTTGTACTGCTCTGGAGTGCAGTATGGGGCATCCCCTATAGAGGAGAGAGGACAGCTCAGAATGGAGATTATAAGTGGTGCAAGGTAGAAGATCAGAGCAAATAGGACAGTAGGGCCAGCCCACCCCAGTCTTTCTTGGAAGTTTCCCCTGTAACAGTCCACCCTTTTTAGACCCTTCCAGCCATTCTTGAGGGCATAGGCAGGAACTGAAGTCAGACAAGAAGCAGAAAGACAAAGAATAGGGTGGGCTGGAACTTGGGTACTGGTTAGGAGGTCAATATGATGGGGGCACGTGAAGGGCCCCCAGAACTGTGCTGGGGCTGACCTGGCATATGCACCATGCGGCAGTTGCAGTTTTCCACCAGGTAACGTGTCTCACAGTCAATGCGGCAGGCAGTGATGCTATAAGAGTCGAAGAAATCCGAGTCCATGGCAACAGCTTTGCAGGTGCCCCAGGGCGGGGGCAGGTAGATGAGCTGCTGGGAGAGCCAGGGAGCTGGGGGAGTGTGGGAACTTCTCCCCAAGTCACCTTGATGGACCACACTGGCCCCATCTATGTCCATAGCCTCTGAAGGACTCGGGGTTCACAGGATATTTCTGCTCATTAGGTTACTCATGCTGCTGACTAGCCCCATTGCCACCCAGCCCCTAGTTCACTTGTTCCTCCCATTATTCATTACCCACCACTCCATCATGACCCCCTCAACACCCCACCCAGGACCAGGCTTCCACAGCCTTCTCACCCTCTGCTCCTGGCAAGCCACAAAGGTCTGGAAGCCTGGGGCCACACCAAAGCCCAGCTGGTCGATGAAAGGAGGTTCATCCTGACTGTGGATCTGTACTTTGATGCCTGCTTCGAAGGATGTCTCATCTACAGGAAAGGGATTGGGTGGGCTTCTGAGACTTTAATACTTTCTGAGCTGGAAGCACCCTACCTTTCCTGGGAAGGAGCACCTCCCTGGTGGGAAGGCTATCTCTAGGGTACTAGCCCACCCTCCGCCTCCAGCACTATAGTGCTCCAATGACTCCTGTACCCTATACACTTCTTTTCTTACCTGGTGTCTGCTACCCAGCTTGATGTTTCAAATTCTCTCCCAGAGTGTCACTGTCTCAGACACTCTCATTTTTGCTCTTTCCTGCCTCCTTCCTTCCCCATCTCTCGGTCCCAAAGCCCCCTGAGACCAAACAGGCAGGCAGCCCAAGAAGAGGGAGTTATTTATAGAGTGAGTGGCGGCTGCTGATGGAAGAGGATGGCTGGTTACCTTGGAGAGTAACTGAGCCATGAAGAGGGAGGCAGGGAAATGGGAGTGTGGAAGTCAGGTAGAGTCAGAAGTGGAGATACATTGTGGGAGGAAGGGCGAGGAGCCTGAGCCTCTCTGGTCCCACAGTGGAGCCTAGAAATGTCCTTATGGAGGCTGGAGCCATGGGAGGGGTCCCGGGAGGTGACATACCCGTCTCCCCCCACACTGGCAGGTATTCGTCCTGCTGGATGTCCAGCATGATCTCCAGCCCATTGCCTGTCCCACCCTTCATGGTCTTCAGCCGAGGTCGGCCATCTCGGCCCGAGTTGAATGTGTAGCACTTTCCATACCGTGTGAAGACCTGGTGGGGGCAGAGCAGAGAGCCTGAGAGTCCCACCAGCACCCTTTTCCCACTAAGGGCTGTCCCCAGGCCTCCCAGATGCCAGAGTCCTCACTCCCCTTCTTCTGTTCATGAGAACAGTTCCTCCTTTTCAGCCCATTATCCATTTGTTTCCCTCTCCACCTATTCTCCACTATTCTTTGCCCTGCTGTGTGTGCCCTGGAAGGGGGAGGGGGGAGAGACAGAGACACAGACACAGACAAGGAGGTTGGGGTACTGATGCTTTGCCCAGACTTTGCCTTTCTGCAATGCTGACAGTGGCTCAGACCCTCTCTGAGCGCAACTTCTGCAGGGAGGGTTCCTACATGGCACTATTGCCTTTTGTGTCCTGAACTTCAGCCTAGAAGTGATAACAGTTTCCTGCTATTGCAAGCTACTTCAGCGGCTCTTATTGGTTTTCTTAATCCTGCCCACAGCTCTGTAAATAGTCCCTTTGTTAAAATCTTCTTCATTGAACTATCGAGTAGCAATCTTTTTCTTGCCAGGCCCCTGACATTGTACTTCCATCACCAGGATCCTATCACTGCCAGACCACTGAGCTGGATTTTCTCTTCTCTTGGATCTCACCCCAGGCAGTAGAAATCCTTCTGTCCCTGAGACCTCCCCCCAACCTAGGCCCATGAAAGCAAAGCTTTTTGGTTCCTCTAGCCATCAGCCCCTTCTGTATGTCACTGTCCCTTTATCCCTAAGACCTGAAAGTAGCTCTAGGTGCCGTGGCAAGGGCTGTGCTTATTCAGGCACAGAGCCTCTTCTCCCAGCACTTGGGACTAGACACCAACATGTTGTCGTGTGCAGTGCTCTGGTGGAGCTGTGAGCATCTCCAAAGAACTCTCAGCGCTGGGGCAGTCTCCACAGTCCTCTCCCTACTCCACTTCCTGACAAAGCCCTTCTTATAGGCCCTGCTACACAGCTAAAACCCATGACCCTTTCCCCACAGTCTCCCCAAACAGTCCCAGAAATGAGCTAGGTGTGCACCAGCTCCTGGCTGGTGACAAAAAGTCCACAAATCTAGTCACAGGTGAATGCAGAGCCCAGAGAAGAGAGAGATACAAGTATCAAGTCAGACTGGAGCAGCAGAGCCACTGGGGTCACTGGGAAGTAGCTTTTGCCGCTTTCTCCTTCCTAGTCTAATCTGTTCTCTTCCCCTCTGGAAGAGGAAACAGACGGTTTGCTCCTGTTTTTTAGGTGAAGTCCGGGAGATGACGCCTAGAGAGAACTCCAGGGGCCTTTTGTCCCCCAGCCCCACTTCCAAGTCCTGTGGCATACAGCTACAGGCCCCAAGTTAGACAAGTGCCTGTGCCCCGTGCCTACCCTCCATCTGGAGGTGTGGGGAATCCCTAGGCCCAGGCCTTTGGGAGCCCTAGCCTTGCCCCTGTGGAGGGCGGGGCTGGGAGCAGTGGGTCGATGCTGCCACCTTGTGGTTTTGAGTGAGAACTGTTTGTTCTACCCTTCCCGAATATATTGACCCTCTCTTGTCCTTTCCCCATCTTTTGAGGCCTTCTTGAGCACCAGTTGCAAAACCCCGCAGGTCTCACTTGTCTAAAGCCATTGCATGGACTGAGATGAGCTGAGATGGTAGTCGCCTGCTCCTACACTGAGGAGGAGAGGGGTGCTGAGGGATGGGGGTGTGGGGAAGAAAGACCAAGCATCTGCAACCTGGAGGGGACAGAGAGGAATCAGTTCAGAAAGCAGTAGTGGATGAACTGGGGAGTCAGTGGGTGGCACACAGGGCCAGGACTCTAGTGGGAGACCAGGGGTCAAAACTGAATTTCTCTATGAGGACTTCCTTTGGGAATAAGATCCCTGCTACTTAGCGCTGGGGGACAGAGCTGGTAAGGAACAGGCTCCCACAGTAGAGCACAGAAGAGGAAGTGAAGGTTCAGTGATGTCCCTGCTGTGGGAGCTACTGACAAGGGGTGGAGGTGAAGACTGTCCCTACCTTTCTACCATCTACTCTGAACCTTTTGGGACCAAGTGGCTAAAATTCTAACATCAAGTCAATACAAGTCAAAATAGTGAACAGCTGGCCAGTATAGGAATCCCCCAACAGGTCCGAGGCAGACTTTACAGAAAAAACAGGGTCCCAGGGTCCCGCTGGACCACACGCAGGACCGGAGAGTATGGCGAGGCTGGGGAATATTCAGGGAGACTCCAGGGCCCTCAAGGCAGCAGCTAATTTCCCACTAGGAGAGACATCAAGATTCTAACAGGAAGAGCAGAACTCATGTGGAACTGGGAATATCAATCAGATCTAGACCCAGGTGAATGCTGACTCTGGTGAGGACACAGCAATCAGCCTGAGCCATGGGAGGTGACAGTCAAGAAGAGCCATGATACATGCTTTCAGGGTTCTAATATAGGCATGGGCCCCCACTCACCACTGAGAAGTTGTGAGGGCCACAGGGCCCCCCGCTGTAGGAGCAATAGAGTAGCATGTCCTCCAGCCGGTGGCAGGAGCGATTGTAGAAGCGATGCAGATTAAAGGGTTCCCCAGAAAAAGCCTCTGGCCCAGGTGGAGCAAGGGGCACTCCCAGATCATCGCTTTCATCCAGCCCCAGCATGGGGGCCAGATAGAGCAAGTCAGGGTAGCTGAGTTGGGACAGCCGCACAGCATTGGTGTTGCAGAGGGTGACTGCTGGGAAAGCAAGCTCCGTGGTGGCCACTTCATCTAGCAGAGTCACGTGCGGGTAGCTGAGGTAATAAGCAATGCGGTCCCCTACCTGGCACAGGAAGGCACCCAAGGCCAAAACAAAGGCCACTGCCCACAGGGCCTGCCTTGGCCCCAGACCCCCTTCCACAAAGACATGACTGGCACCATGAAGGGTACAGCTGTTGGCAAAGGCCACTAAGTCCACAGGCAGATCCCCTTCACTGGTCTCCTTCCTCGACATCTTTTCTTTCTCTTCTTCTTCCTCTTCTGATTCTGAGTTGTTCCGTGGGTACTGTTGCTGCCGCTGGGGACCCCAAGCATCTCCCAAAGGCCCCGGGGTCTCCTCTCCAGAGGAGAAAGACATAGAGCAGAAGATCTGGATGGGCATCTTCCTCAGGGGCTTTCTGTTACTAGGGAACTGGCAGGAAGAAGGAGGATGGTGCTGGAGGGTAAAGGAGATGTGACCCTAGGAAGAGCCCAGCAGTGTGGCTGCCTAGCCTTTTGGAGAGGTCTCTGCAACCCAGCTGGCTGCCCTTTCTCATGAGGCCTCTGTGGCAGTGTGGCTGAGCTGGGGCGGAGCAGGATAGCAGAGCCAGCCAGTCCTGCTTGGGAGGGCGGAGTCTGTGCTCATGAATAATTGATGGAGTGGGAAAGGGAGGGTGATGGAGAATGGGGGCTGGAGCCCCTTTCCTGTTACTGGTTCTAGCAGGACACAGAGGGTTTAAGACAGAGTGGAAAAACCTAGGGCCCAGGCTCCTGGTCCCCCTCTCCTGGTGAGGCAGGACCCGGCACACTCCTTTGCTCCCACTGCCAGGATGACTTCAGCTGGCAGCAGTCCCAGCCTCCCCTAAGACACATGTGCATGCTCTCTTCCCCTCCAGGCTGGTCCTCAGCATCTCCCTCAGTTTTTCCACCCTGTTTCTGAACCTCTCCCTTATTCTTACCTGGTGCAGATATTACTTTGGGATATCCAACCCCTCACACTCTGTAGGCACTCTCTCCAGCTCTAATTCTTCTCTAGTTCCCCTCGATCTAAGTCACCCTGACAACTATTTTATTGATCCCCAACTTTCCCAATGCATAAATGCACCCAATTCATTTTTGGTTACCTCAGGACCCCCAATTTCCCTGCAATTGTTTCCTGGACTCTCAAGCTCCCTCCGGTGAATCTCTGACCCTTTTCTCTTCCTCTTTCTCCCCTGACCTCCAGCTGTACTTCATTTCTGCAACTGCTCCCTGACGTTGAGCTGCACTTAAGTCCCTTTCCCTTTCCCACTGCCTTTTGTGGCTTGGGGGCAGCCCAGGCTCCATTAGCAGAAGTCTCTCACTGACCACAGTCTCAATTCTGGTCAGTTCCTGGCATTAGTGAAGGTCCTACATCTTGCAGCTGAAAAGCATCCTGGCAAATCACCATCCTCCCAGCTGGTCCATCCCCAATGGTTCTGAAGAGGGGCTAGAGGAATTATCCTCTGGTGGGGGAAGGAATTGAGATCAGTGCAGAGACAGAGGTCCTTGGTCAGGTCGAAAGTGTTGGGGCCTTCTGTGTGCTCTGGTTACCCAGGGCCCACTGATTGAGGAACTTGAGCCACCAGCCAAGTCTCCAGGGCCAAGAAGGTGACCTGAGGGGAGTGGAAGAAGGGAGGGAGGAAGGGAGGATAGCAGATTAACCTTTCCTCTGCAGGGCCAGAGGAGCAGTGGGGACAGGACAAGACTACCCAGGCTTTCCCATTCCTTAACCATTCTAGAGTCCTGGGCCAGCCCCTGCCTTTCCCTTCCTCACTCGTGGAGACCTTGGAGCATGGGGGTTGGGATGCAGGGTGCCAGGTTCTGGCAGAACTGACTGTTGTACAACCTTTGGCCTTAGCTTTGCTGCCAGGGACGAAAAGGTCTGAGAAGAAGAGGAGCCTTGAGGTCTGGCCCCTCTCCAGCCTTATGCCACTGTCCTCAGATTGGCTTCAAAGTGTTTTGCCTGAACAACAGCTTCCCAGCTGGCTTCCCTGCCTCCCTGCCCTTTGTCCTCACCTGCTATCCATGCTGCATGACTCTGAACAGTCTGCTTAAAGGCTTCTCGGGTCCTGGCACCTCCTGGTAAAATCCACTCCCTAATATGGACCTACAAAGCTGAAAGCCACATACCCTCCAGCCTTTTTTCCTTCTGCTGTCCTTTCACCCCAGCTCTGTGTCCCTAGACACACTGGGTTTACCCACAATTCTATGTTTTCTCAAGACTATCAGGAAAGTACCTACTTTTTTTTTTTTTTTTTTCTTTGTCTTTTCTTTTTTGAGAGACGGTCTTGCTATGTTGCCTAGG